CTTGGTCTTTGAGCGGGTCGGCAGGAGCAGAACCCTCGGCGCCTGTTGACCGGGGACGAGGAACTTCGTTGCTTTGGCCTTCGGGGAGGTGGTCGGGAAGCCACTTGGCTAGGCCTCCAAGTGGGCTGGGTGATGGAAGGTACTCGTATCTGGAATGTTGATCTAGGGGATAGACGATGGTTAGTAATGGTTATATAGTAAAGAGTCAATAGCGTTTCATGGTTCGAAATGATGGTTTATGTTATTGGGGCTTCTATGGGTTTCTTGACATGATGGTTCATGACGGTGAATGATGGTTAACGGATAAATAATGATAAATATTAATCGTTCATAATGATGTGAATTGGATTGGGGTAAGTATCCTATGTTATCGACCAACTTTTAGATGGGATCAGCCGATATCACCAACCATGGGGCAACTCCAGCAACAAAGCTAGAAGGGAAAGGAGAGTAGCATGGGTTAAGCATAGATGGTTGATGGCATTCGCAAATTGTGAACTACTTTCATTGATGACAGTCACGTATTTTCTGATCTACCTGGAAATTTCCCAGGATTGAGCCAACCAGTTTGGATACGTTTATGATTTGCATTGATTTGGCGTCCATTCAACCATTTTTAGAAACACCTGGTTCATATCAAAATGGCCACCACCAACCGCATTGCTCAACCTCTTCATTTGGGGATGTTGAGAACGATCCCTCTGGTTTCGACACTCCAATGTCCGGAGCTGTGGGTATCCAGATGCCCCACCAAAACGGGGAGCCTGTTCTGCCTCAAGGTGCTGCGGAAGAAGTTTGCCATGGACGTTGAAGAGCCTCCGGCCTTTTGTCCAGAAAACTGGTCCAGTTGCGATGGAAGTTGCGTTGGTTTTCTTGCTGGTTTGCAATGTCCGGTGCTTTAATTTATGGCATTGGAAAATACATTTGTTTGCCTAATAAGTCATCTAAAAACTGGTGGATTCCCTATTGAATGAGTGCACTTTGAATACTTAATGTGCAAGTTCTTACACTTCACCTTGAGGTTCCATCCACCTACGTGAATGATGCCGAACAAGAGTTGCAGAACTATGTGGAGAAGTTTCCGGCTCAGATGTTCAAAACACAACCAGCCGTTGGTGCCCCCATATGATGCTTACCAGATGTCGAAACCATAAGGGGATGGATCAACACCTATAGCAGGGAGGGGATGAACCCGGTGAAGCTCCATAAATCCCAGGTATTTTCAGGTTACCAGGTGATCCACAGCCATAGCATCCTCCATCCACTTGGAACAGGCTGCCACTGCAAGAGGCACCAGCCTTTCCGCTACAAGGCAGGCCGACTGATGCCGTGGGCCTGCGACTGCTGCCGTGGGCTGCGCCAGGCAACTTTTCATCAAAGATTGGAGAAGAGATGATGGAGGTGTGGAGATGATGGGGGCGTCAATTGAGAAAATCTACCTCTGTTTATACAGACTCTGTTGGCGGCTCCATTTGTGTCCCCTTCATCCGCAGAACGCCAAACAGCTACGGCAAGTTGTCGAAACCACGGCAGGAGCTGCGCGGGTCCTGGAATAGCCATCACCAAGAAGATGAGTACTCGGTCACACTCGAGGGCCGCCAGGCGCTTGCATGTTGACAAGTCCACACTTTCGCTCTGAGATTGGGCGGAGAATCAGGGTCAGATTTGCAAGAACCAGGGTTCTAATCTTTACCCATACTTTCCATGATTTTCCATGGGTGCTTCCTGTCATTGAGATGTTCCTAAGCCATGTGCATCCCAAAACTGATCGTCACTGCACGTGAACTGCTGCAGGTGGAACTCTGGGAGGGGAAGTTGGAGGATGCCAGAGCTTGCCGCGAGCAGATGCATCAGTACCTGGTTGATGCGTTGCACTTGTTTCCTACGGATGCAGGCACCTAAAGATCGGTTTGATGTGACATTGGCTGATTCCCTTTGCCAGGATTGGGCAACATGTCAATTGAATTCATTTGACACGTTTCAATAAATGGGTTCCTATTGTGATTCCGCAATCAAACCATATCAATGTTATCGTTTTCTTACACCATGTTTAAACAATGGGATGAGCTGACCCGGGCTGTTGCTTCTTGGATGTTTCTAGATGTTTCGACCATTGACCATTGCAATGAGCTCTGGCAGGGGCTTCTGATGCCAATATCTTTCGATTGCGAATGGCATCGAACCTGGTCCCGAAGGCGGGTTTTGCAATGATATTAGGATATGTCCTAAAGTGGAGGATACCCAGGATACCCTAATTTGCTGGTTCATTTTTCCACCCTGTCGAAGCGAAGCAATGGGAGATTGGGGCGTTGCCCTCAGCCAGAACTTTTCGGGTATCCCCACCCGAAAAATCCCCGGCGTCACGCCACGTTGAAGCCATCGTTGGGCGGTGTTTCCCGGGGACCACGGGGACCACCTGATGGTTTCCCGGCATCAATCCAGCGAGGTCACAGAAAGAGATTTCTTGCGAGCTGCGATTCAGCCGGAAGTTCTTCGAAGTTTCAACCCATTTCTGTCTCTTGACTGCGGAAATTTCATGGAGAGAGATGCGGGTCAGATACCACTAGGTACCATACCAATTTTCCATTCTTTTGATTGACTATGGCTGTGGTTATATTAAATGGCCCACTATTTTTCCAAACATTTCCTGGGAAACCAATGATTTGCAATATTTGCTTACAGTTAAACAGGGATCATTATATTGTAGTGTAACAATCAGGACGAATCCTTGTTTGGACAATCATGATGTCGGCATAAGCTCGGCACAATCTGTGTGTTGGTTGGCGCTGCCAATATTAATTTTCCCTTTGATACATTTCACGTCACTTACTTGTACCATCAGTTTTATTTGGACCTTCAACCACTTTCCATGATTATCATCAACATTACTGCGTGCAACCATCAACTATGATTGGGAACCAGGTCCCTATCCACCAGTAGCGGTTGCAACATCTTAGGTCACCGAAGGCGGTGCAACAGCTGCACGAAGCTGTGTTGCTGTTGTTGCAGCTCTATGTGTGGGAGGATAAGCTTAAGAGGCTTTGCATACACGCGACTCAGCTCGGTGCGTTGGCTGTGCTTGTTGGTATCTCTGAATCTCTTTATATGGCAGCCAACCAGGAACCAACATGAACCAACCATGTGGGGTTCATGTCAAATCATCCTGCTGTATCTACTGTATACCCAATTTCATAATTTTCATAAACCCCAAGCGGTCGATGGCGGCATTGGGTCTACCTTGTCATCCATAAATGCATGCTGCGCAAGCCAAGGCTAAGGGTCAGGTCTACCCAATGCTGTTGCAAGAGCTGTTGGTGACTCGATGCTGGGAGGTTCAGGAGCACCCAGAGTGGTTGGTCTTTGAAGTAGAGGAGGGGCTGCAGATTCGTCCAGTGCAATATGAAGTTGCAAGGAAACTCATCAAAGATCCAGGCTGCGTGGTGCAGTTGAATATGGGAGAAGGCAAAACACGAGTGATTCTACCCATGCTCATCCTACACTGGGCTGGCAAGGGAGAGCTTGGAGAGCAGAGATTGCTGAGAATCACAGCGTTGACTTCCTTGATCAACGAGCTCTTCGATTTTCTGCATCGACATCTCTGTGCTTCTGTGCTGCAGCGGAAAATCTTCACGCTTCCATTTCATCGTGACGTGCAACTCACAGAAGAAGATGTGAAGGTGATGATTTCTTCCATGGAATTTTGCAGCCGCAGTGGTGGCGTCCTTTTGGTGGCTCCGGAGCATCGGTTGTCCTTGCAACTGAAATGGCATGAACTGCGCCTTCAGGGGGAACACGCTTTGTGTGAGCTGTTGGATCAGTTCTTCGCCTTGCCATCACGTGATTGCTTGGATGAAAGCGATGAAGTCCTCCGCCACAAGTACCAGTTGATCTATGCTGTGGGCAGTCCAATTCCCCTGCCGGAAGGCCATGAGAGGTGGACGGTGGCAACAACGTTGCTACGGGTTTTGCACAACTCCCAGAGGTTGCGAGACCTTTTGACACCTGAAAACTCGGTGACCGAACCGGGCGACTGCGAAGCCTTTCACCTGATTCGCCTGGTGCCAGGGAAGGAGCTCCAGGAGATCATGTTACAAGTGCGAGTTCGAATCGTGGAGGAGTTGATGGAGGATCCTCCATACGATTTCGCCTGGTTGAAAAATTTCAGAGATGATGTGGCTGTAGTCATGTTCTTGACAGGTCCTGAGGCAGATGAGACTGTTCTACCTGAAGGCATTCCCCAGGATCGCCTTGCTGTGATGCTGGCCCTGCGAGGATTCCTTGCATGTTCGGTCTTGGAGCATTGCTTAACCAAGCGACACTCTGTGGAGTACGGCATTCGGAGAAGCCATGGAAAGCGCTTAGCAGTGCCCTACCGGGCCAGCAACACTCCATCAGAACGCTCCGAATTTGGACACCCGGATTGTGCCATCCTTCTGACTCTGCTTTCCTACTTTTACGATGGACTCAGCCACTTCGAGCTACGACAAGCCTTTGAGGTATTGTTGGCTTGTGATGAATCCATCCAAGAAGATCACTATGACACTTGGTTCAGGTTGAGCAGTGAACGCATCCCACCAGAGGAGAGACCAACGCTGGAACGAGTGTCGATGGTGGATCTCTCCAATGAAAATCAGTTGGAGGTACTTTACACCTATTTCCACAAGAACTATGAGACCATTGCCTTTTGGGTCTGCCAGTGTTTGTTTCCATCGGAGACGGCGCAGTATCCTCAGAAACTGCTGAAAAACGCCTGGCACCTGGCTGAAAATCCTGATGGCCTCGTCGGTGGTTTCTCTGGCACCGATGACAATCATCGTGCGCTACCCTTGCAGGTGACGCAAGAGATGCTGGGATGTAGTGATGGTATATAGTTCCAAAATGTTCCGAAGGGTGGAGTGGTTCAATGTCGTTTTTGTTTCATTTTGATGTATATAGTTCCGGCAAATCCAGCAAAATCCAGGAAGTTGTTGTCTTTCTGGATATGAGACACAGCCTAATCTCTACTCCAATCTCTCTAATGTGGTAAAGCCATAAACCATCCCCAACTAGGGCTTATGAAATTGGGTATAGCCTACGGGATAGCCTTATTTGTCATTTAAAATGACCCTCAAATGGTTGGTTAATGGAGCAAATGGGATGGTTGATTGTTGGGCTTTTGTTGGCGAAATTTTATTCCAAGGAACCTCACGGAGCTGTGTGGAACCAACGGCAAGATGGTGAAGACCATTTTGGACAACCCGGAGTTCCACAGCTTGGAACTTGGTGAAGACGGCCATTTGCATTGGAAAATGGTGCTGACCGCTGCTGCAACGCGAGGCGCGGCATGATGATATTGGATGGTGACATGATTCGTGGATTTGATCATAGCGCATTGCTACTCAGATCTATTCAGATAATGATGGCAATGGATGATGATGAGGAGGATGGATGGATATGGATATGGACATGGATATGTAGACTCTCCTAGTTCTGACAGCTAGCACCCAACATGACCCAAATCTGGCGTACATGACCCAAATCAGTTCGTAGCCGGCCATGTTGAGCCATGCCATAGCAGGTGTGGATGCTCTGATTGATTGCGGAGCTTTGACGGCTGGCGCCGACAATGCGAAGATTGCTGGCGAACTACTTGTCTTGATGGAAGGCAATGGGTCGATGCTGAGCAATGCTATTAACCCCTGATGGTGAAACGTAGAACAACTTTGAGTTGTATACTGACAAAATATTGGAGATTATAATTATCCAATCCATTATTTGTCTATGTTGATGAGAGCATTTTTCCATATTTTTCCCACATTTTTGATGACATCCAGCAGTTTTTGCCGTCGGTGCCCAACGTTGTGAGGCAAGTTCAGTGGTGTGACGTTTTTCGACACCTCCAAAAAGGTGACTCGGTAGATCATCCCGTACATTCCACCATGGTTTCTGAGGGGTATGTAAATGATTGTAAATGTATGATATGTATGTAATATGATGGGAAGGGATTCATCACATCGTGGTGTCTTGTTAGGCCAGGTGCTGGTTTAGTTTGACGCCAAGGATTGGATGATCTTGGACTACCACGGCCGTTGCCTCCCAAAAAAGTCTTCGCCTGCACGAGAGTCGGAGACTCGCTGAGTGGAGTGAATGAATCGGAGTTTTGAAACCATGACTGATATCTGGAAATGTCTGGAAGATGGTAATTATTCCTATGTATTCCTAGTGGATCCATATTTGGGTTCCATGTTGATTTTAGAGGCTGTACACTGTATCAGAGTTCATTCTTTGGGATGAAAATCAACGTGGAGATGTGTCGCAAAGGTTGGTGTATTCAAAGGCAGATGATAGTAGCATATTGACTGGCTATAAGGCTTGTTTCACCATGTACAAGTTGCAATCCCCGGCCACCCCCCATTTCTTTGGTTTCACTGTTACATAACTTCTTGCTTCGAAAACCATGGTTCCGTTGTCCTTTACAAGTTTTACAATAAACCTACGGTAACGACATTTAAATATGTGGAGGAAGGGCCAGACTGCGAGGCCCAGGAGGTAGTATAAAATACCAGTTCGTATATTTGAATGTAGTTACCGTACAGTTTTTGTACAGCGCACTTTGTCCCCATAGCTATGGCTCCAAATCCCAACTTGGATGGTTCAACAGCAAACACCAAAGTTCGGGTCATCCAAGAATATCCGGTGCAGAAATATCATGAACAATTCCATATAATAAATATGGATTGATTTTATATCAAACACTAGTATCTGGAATTAACATATGGATGGTTTATATCAAATTGTGGATGGTTTTTATATCAAACACTCCAATTATCCCTCATTAACCACAAGTATCTCAACTCGTATCAACGATTTATTCGTCCCATGCTTAATCATAAACCTGCCTGCCACTATCGATGGTTTATGACATCGAATGATATGATGTTTATGTCATGTTGCCTCCAAGGAGTGTTTCGCCTTCTTCGACGAAGCGAGATCTCGTGGGGCTGACTTGAAGCTTGCGATGACCGCCAGAGCCATGGTGACTCGCCTGTCTGTTTGGTATGTCTACTGCAAAATGGTTATGGGTTTGTCAAGAAATGGGAGATATCTTCAACTGGCAATTTTAGTTAAACAAAACAGAAACAAATTATTTGGTGCCCTATTTTCAGACAAACCCATATACAGTGGTCATTACAGTATGTAACGGTGATCGCAATGGTTAATGACAATCGTTTGCAAATGGAATTCATCATGATTTTCAGAGGGATTGTATTCATTTCTACTGTATTTGTTTGATTTTCAGAGGGCCGTTATTTCCCATTCTCAACATTTCTCAACCAGGATCAGTTGCCAACTGTTGGACTGCAGCAGTAACCTTCTCTTCATTTCACATGGCCAAAACTTTGAATATTCTTCAAACCGCAAAAGTCCAGAAACTAGCAACATATCATGAACACATTGGTTTCACCAATAAAGGGACCATTCCTTGGTGCCAGGTGACCGTGGGCCCCAAATGTGGAAAGGACAAGTTGATGCAAGCCGTGGGGCGAATGCGGCAACTGGGCAAGGGCCAAAGCTTGGAGTTCATCGCATCGCCGGAGGCAACTGGTCGCTGGCAGTGTGTGAAAACCCATGTTGTACCCCTTTTTTGTTCACATCAAGTCATAGCTGGGATTTATGGATGTGAATAACCCCCTAAAAATGGTATTTTCATAGGTATTGATCCATACCCATGTAACTATCCGATTTTATCATCATTTATGGTCGAGCTTTTCGTGCTTGGTGAATTTAGTTTTGAACTTATCCAGATTTGATGTGACTTCCATGATCTTCCGTGTCATTACTTCACCATTGGTGGTTGATGTGCACCGTGTACCTTGATGACTTACCACCAATTACATTGGTGGTCATCCCATGTCACAGAGGATAGCCATGCTATTGGGTCCTCCAATTTCAGGAAGCTCCATATGGGGACGGCATCCATGCAACACCCAGTCGTGCGGATAGTGTTCATGACCCATTTGTTGGTGGCATATGGGCGTGTCAGAAATTAAATAGGGTACAGTACCCCTAAATCCTCTGGTTAATCATTATTTTCCCTATTGAATGACAAGTTTCTGGTATACCCCCTTTGCAGACAGACCCATGCTGTCGCTAATGTAGATGAAACTGTCTTGGCAGGTCACCAGAAAGGTGCAAGATCTCATGACGCCAACAGACCGCTTTGGCGAGGCGCAACGTGGCCAGATTTGTCTTTGAGATGCTTTGGGCCATCGTATGGCCTTTGAGATTTTGAAACCCCATGGGATTTGGAGTGTGAAGCCCCGTTTCAACAAACCTGTTTGAGATAATTGTTTTGAGTTCTCCATCGCTTCATTTCCTGTTGCTCATGACTTTCAGCCTGGTAGGTGACGTCAAAGGACTTGCTTGAATGGGTGATGGCCAATACTGCGCCGTAGCAGAGCAAGAAGCGCCATGAAGCGCCAATGTTTGACTGATTGTAATGAGGTCGATGCATGTCAATGTACCCAGATGCTATCACTGAGTTGGAACTTTCAACCACAATGAAGCGGTGTGTCGATGCATTTATTCTCTGCGACAGTATCAGCCATTGTCAACCATTCATATTGATATTGTTATATAACAATGAGGTAGACAACCATTTAGGGTATCGGTATCAAGATACTTGAAAACATTGCGACTGATCCTACATAGAAACTGGATTTAATCCAAGGTTTTTGTTTGGGCGTTCAAGACACATAGTGATTGGATTAGTATCGACATTGTATAGTGTGATTGGCATCACATTTATGACGATAATGAGCTAATTATATAATTAGTTTCTTATTTTGATTATCATACTTATTACTTATTACTATTGATATTATTCCTACTACCACGAGTCTTATTGCTATTATTGAATATTGCTACTATCAGAATCATTCTTGTTGTGACATATTCGGAGAGCCTTCCTTTCTCATTGTCACGGTCAAGGAATCTAAGGTGCGAGCAGCAGAAGAGGCGTTGACTGAATGGGCAACTCGGCTCTACATCATGACATGGGATTTGTAGAACAGCTTCATGAAGATTGATAGCAGGGGCTAATATTCGTTAAGCATGATAACGGTAATGATAATGGTATTCTTCATGATATATTAGTATTATATCGTATTGTTTATGGCTGGAGAATAGTGGTTAACATTAGTAGTAATGGTCAATATTAATGATAGAGAATTTTAATGTTATTGTTGAATGAATGGGTTGGATTAAGGGACAATCTACGTTAGTTTTTTTTTTCGCCTTCCGAGATCCAAAAGCTCTGACGATTCATATGCCAAAGCACCACCACCATGACCTTTCCATTCAGCCACTACATGTTTTTGCTACTTATAGACTAGACTATACGTCATAACCAGCTACCATTCATATCCAACAAGACTATCTTAATGATAATATGATAATGACCCTTGATTTATAGTCTATAAATGTCTATAATAGTTATACCATGATGAAGTCAAGCGTCATTGACCATTCATATCAACCATCAAGAGGTTGCCACCGATTCAGCTGGACACTAGGCCAAGCAAGGCTTGCTCTTCACCAAGACGCACGGCAACCCTGAAATGGCCGTGTTGGATGAAACTGTTGAGCTCAAGCATTTCTACGGAGATGCATTGGTTTTTGGGCAGCATTTCCAGGATTTCAAATGGCAATCATGGCGATCATGAAACTGTGCATGTTATTCTGTTGGATCAGATGTAGACCATGCTGTTGGTTTCAGATATATGTCTGAGCATGTCTTGTCTGAGTCACTGAGTTCGTTGATCGGCAAAACCTCAAAAAACACGCTTTCTTTTGGAAAAAAAACGTGAGCACAAAGAATTCTATAATGCGGGTAAAACAATAATAAACCACATTATTATGGTGATTTGGGGGGATGATTTATTATTGTTTTACCCACCACCAAGGGCTGTTTCTTCCAACATTTTCCCATCGCTCTGGCGGCGGTGGCACACGAGGTGTCTCGAGAGGTGTCAGAGGTCATCGGAGAAGAGCTGAAGGTCTTTGAACAGAGACTTGCTCCAATGATGGGCTGCCACCAATTCTTGGGATTTGAACATCACATGAGGGTTTACATACAATCAATGAATATATTCTATACATTTCTATACTATATAATGCCACATGTCTGAAAATGATCTACATCTCCTATTATGGCCATGTAATGCCATTTAATGATACTGAGGAACATGAACCAACGTGCGGATTGAAGTGAAGTGAGTTGAACAATTCAACGCGCTCAGGGCTGGTGCAGACCTCGGTCATCAGCTTCTCAACGAGATCAGGCCGGTGCCAAAGTTCCGCATCAAGCGTATTGGTTTTAGCAGCGTTCGTAGGAGTTTCAACAATGAATTATATATGTATATAGCTGTATATATATATATATATACATGTATATTCTCTTTGATGATTATAGGGGTTTCAACTATCGTTTATAAGTTGTAGGGTTCTATCATTATTATAAATTTTCAACGAAGAGATTTATGCTGATAGCATTGATGACCATCGATCAATGATGGTTGGTTGATGATTGCTGAAGATGTTTCCTTCGGGGCCTATCAAACTCTCCTATATATATAACGACTATATGTATATATATATATAGGGGACTATCATAGTCCATACATGGTAGCAACTTTTGTGGTAATCATCAGCTACTTTATCAAGATTTGCTAAGATATAATCCCATAGACAGATCAGCCGAACATGATCAACTGACGGTATGGGGTTTTGACATGGCTCAAATGGAACCTGCCATAGGCACTGTGGATGTTTCCGATCGATACTATGGATAGGCAGCACAGGTATCAGGGATGATCATAGTTCGATTGACCGTTCACATTTAAGCATATAGTGAGCCAATATCTATAGAATCTATATGGCAATTGATTTGAGGCCAATATCCAATATCTACATAGCCATGGTTCATTTGATTACCACCTATCTAAATTTACCATTCATTCACCATCCAGCTCTTGGATGCCTTGGATGCCTTGGATCGTCGCAGGCATCGGTCTGAGAAATATGGCGCCGGAGTTCATGTGACGGCCAGTGTACTGGACGAAGAGCAACCTGGCAGATCCGTTTCTGTGACTCGGTCACGGCCTCCAACATGGCAACATGGTCACCTCATGGCAATTTGATGAGTACAAAGATGGAAAATCTATGAACGTTAATTCCCATATTAATTAATCACCATAATTATAGTGATGTAGCCAATTATTAATAGTATTATGAACATTTAAAGGGTTGTGTTCTTTTTGCGTTTCTGGATGTTTCTTGCGCTTTGTGCCTTTGTGCAGGTACGAGCGAGAACTGCAGGTAGAAAAGGAAGTGGAGAAGGAAGTGGAGAAACAGTTGCCCAGTGTGAAGCCTTTGCCGGAAGTAGATTGGGACCTGTCGAAACTGCCCTGCGCGAAGAGCATCAAAGATTTGCCAAGCAAAGTCCTCACTTTGCCCAAAATCTTTGCTTCCACGGTTTCATTGAAGGGAATCCACTTTCCACCGCACCTGCGAATTTTCGCCACGGAGAATTTCCATCAGACCATCCTTGGGCATCAGAATCTCAACTTGGATGACTATCTACGCCCCGTAGATGCTGTGATCGTGTTCCCAGAGTCCAACGAACTTCTGCTCCTGTCCGAAAGGGAGGCGGATTTGGCCCTGGAGGCGTTTTGGACTGCGAAGTCCCATCGCAATGTCTTCACCAACTGGGCCTTGTGGCGGAACAGCTTTTCCCTGGAGATTCCGGGGGTGCTTCCTGTGGCAAGTCGTCCTTCAGTGCTTCAGGATGCATCGGCGCTAGTGTCTATCCAGGCATTTATGGGTGACACGAGATTCAAAGAAGAGGCGCAGAAGAAGGAACTTCAGGATCTCGTGAATCATGTCGAAAGGGAATGTGGAGATGCAAGGGCCATCAAAGAGTTTGCAACTTGGTGAAATCTGTTTGGGTGATGTGGCTATCATTGGGGGATACTGGGGGAATACCTGCAAGCGGCGTTTTTTCTGACAATAATCGATCTTTTCGACATTGATGGAGTATTGGGTATCTATACGGTATTCACTGTTTTTGGACAACCATTTGGAGGTTTCTATACATCCAATTGCGTACAGTCACTCAGACGTTCTTGGGAAATGCTTGTTACTGTGCACCCACACTGGATGATTTGGGGATCCCCAAATCCAAGGGTTTATCATCACATTCCCTTTTACAATGGCAATTTAGGGGGTTTCTCCTTGTTTGAGACAAAGCCAGTTCGTAGCTGTTTGCAGTTGAGAGTATCTGCTGAGGTGAATGTGAGAGGAATGATGCATCGATTTGAAAGAAGTGACCTTGCACGCATCTTGAATTCGAGGTAAGCCACCGCGCAGAACCACTTTGAGACCAATTTTGTTTAGGCTAAAGTTTAGGCATGTTTAGTAAGGCAGTTTCCTGGCGACGTGCGTACGATCTATGTTTGTCATGATTATGGCATTTTATGGCTCTAAAAGGGCGAGCATGGTCCCATCCGACACGTGCGAATGGGTTACTGTGCATGTTTCCCTTTCTTTCATCATGCCTATGTTTTATATGATCCTGATTGATCCTGCGTGTTTCATATAGCCTTATCCTCAGCAATGGCCAGGGCCTGCGAGTGTTCATTTTCCTTGTGCCAATGGCATTGTGAACAGAGATAGGCAACACAATGTCGTTGGCATCGCAGCAGTCTTTCGACCTGACCTGGTCTTGGAGGCTTCGCAACAGGTTCCATCCATTGGGCACGATGTCGGTCACCTTAAACATGTTTCAACAAAGGGATTGCATGCCATTGCCATTACTTCCAGAACAGTGGCCATTGACATCATGATCGGATATGGTTTTACTAGATATCATGAAACATGCATTTGTATAGTTATTAATTATCTATAATATATATACATGATTATATATATATATTATGGATTATATATATATATTATGGATTGATATGTATGGTTTCATTCTGTCTTATTAGATATCACCAACTGTCATTAGCCATGGTTTGACCAGGGGACCTCAGCCCATTTTTACTTGCCATAGCTCGTGTCTAAGCCCATTTTAATCGCTAGCTTTCAACAGAACATTACAGGAATTATTGTGGTACAAAAGGTCGCGGCCTGCTGCAGCATGGGAAAAATGGGTTGGCGACTGGGAAGTTTCACGAGGATTTTGGGGCGCTGCTCCTGTGACATTCGCCTTGATATACTGATAGGCATCAGATTCTCACCATAGGCTATGATTGATAGCCCAGAATTTGGCATTGGAACTGGACACCACGGGCTAAATGGAAGATGTGCAGAGTGTTTTGTTGTCCGTTTGAAATCGTTGCTGTGATTCTTTCGCAGTTGTTGCCCTGAAACTTGGACCCAAGTGGAAGCGGTCATTGCGCTGATTTTGCGAACATTGCCCGGCCCCAACATGATCCAACAGGGGATGGACACTGGATATCCAAGGTCACTTTAGACCTTGGTCCCTGACTCGAGGACATGAGTTGGGCGTTGTAAGTGGTTTGCACATATTCTATCCCGGGGAAGGCGCAAAATAAGATGCATTTGCAAAATGAGATATGTACCTGGCGGGTCGTTAGTACATTTTTTTATTTTTTCTAAACTCATATAAAGGGATGATGGCAGGGCAGAAAATAAAGACAGAGAAGAAAACAGAGAAGGAACAAGGGTATATCAAGGGATAAAGGGTGGGCAGGGCGGAACTTCAAACTTCACTTTTTTTCTCCACTTCACTTCTTTTAACATTAACGTACTAAAAAATTGAAACCCAACAAAGGCAACACACAAAATGAAAGCAAAATCATGAAATCCCTGAACACAGTCAATGACTAAACTCAGTGGTAAGGCATGAAAATAAGGTAATCAACCTGACTAAATTTTAACTTAGTAAAGAGTTCTCCAACACAGGACATAACCCGAACATGATGTGTATAAACCTGGCTTATGTCATTTTAACATTTTGGAGATGCGACTGACTATAACTAAGTGAGATGTCAATGACCTAGTCAGTGAATGTGGTTTTAGTTTTAGTTTTTTTAATTGTCAACATACTATATTTTGAACTTTGTGTCTCTGTCAATGTTTTTAATGGTTACTCTGTTTCGGCTTAATTAATTTTATTGAGACTGACTATATAACTAAGTGAGATGTCAATGACCAAAAAAGATGCAAACCTGAAGGGTACAAACCTGGGTGATTAAGATGTCAATGACAAACCGGAAGGGTCGTTCACAATTTAGTACTCTCTGGGAAATTAACATAGACCCTGACTGACTGAAATCACCTATTTGTCGTCGTAGTGGAAACTAAATTGAGATTTTCCAGCCTGTATCTGGCAGGGTCTATGCTAGTTTACCAGAGGGTCCTATAATTTTATTCTGACGGAGTCGTATTTTCCATATGTGCATTTATGAGTAACCACCTGCAACAATAGCCCGCTTGGAAGCCATTTGCAGTTTCCAGTGCCACCGGGACCCAAACATCCTGCAAGACTATGTTTTTATGTTGCTTGCATTTTGTGGTTTTGTTTGCAGTGTTTCCCGTGTTTCCCTACCGCCAGAGATTGTTGACAGGATCATGGATGAACAAGCCGTGGGAGACTTCGTTTCACGTCAACACCTCAGAATTCAAGATGTTCCATTCCAGCTGACAGTCTTTGAGAATGATTTCTCTTATGCCGCAACTGTCTGTCACTGACAATTCAATAAAATTTGTTTGCATAGACTATCATAGTCAGTACCATTCATGTGTTCAGAACTTGCCCTGGTTATGGTGGCTTTCATGATTGACCGGTCCCTGACCAGCATGGAGGAACAATGTCGCTGTCCTTCATTGAATGCGTGTCATTGACCGTTTTATGCTATGTCATTGTCATGCTGCTCATTGGTCATTGTCATGCGGTGTTGCACATGGCATTCTCATTTGAGTTTAAAGGACCTGTGCCCTGTGGCGGTTTGCCAGGAGATCCAAGTCGTCACTGACCTTCACCAGCAGGTTTTCGGAACATCGCAGGACAGGGCAATTTATAGTGAGTCGCTACGTGCAGTGTGAAGGGAGTTGCATTCAATGTTAGTAGAGTGAGTGCCAGCGCGTGTTATTTTAATTCTATCCGTTTTGGCATGTGGCAGGAGCATGGGAGTGGCAGCAGCTTCTAACTTAGCGACCAAGTGTCATGACTCATTCTGTCATAGATTATATAATCACAAGTGCATTGGCATTGAATTGTGTTTAAGCTATGATGACGACTGACTATTAATACTTTTGAAGTAAATTTGGCATTCACTCTGAGGTTCTTCCGTTCCATCGTTGTCTTGGCCCCGGTGACTGTCACTGCCAGTTTTTTGAACTTGTCACTCACTGTCACTGTCACTGTCCGTGTCAATGTCCAAGCTCGCTGATTTAGGTTGGACGAGGCCATTGGAAAGACTGTTGTCTTGGTGAGGGAGGTTCTGTCGCAACAAAATGTTGAAGGTCAGTGTCTTACTGAAGCACATGAACAAAACAAATTGTGCAATGTGAGAGCTGTTTCAATCCCGAGGTTCTGCTGTGGTGGTGCCTGTCACAAAGGAGAGTTGCATGCATTGAACTTGATTGAAGTCATGTGTTGCTGTCACGAAAGTTCAATTGTGGTATGTTTCTGGTTGCGTTCATGCATCGCTGACGTTGGTTGCCATGGACATTGATTTAGGTTTGGCATGGGACTGACAGACTTTGCATGTGATGTGCTTCACCGTTAAAATTTCTTTAGTGACTGCCAGGACACGTGCAACACCTGTGACTGTCGGATTTCCAATGTCAGGATCCCAGCCGATCAGTTGAATATTCAAATTCAGTTGAACATTTTAATTCACTTGATTCAGCTTTCAGCGGTCTGCTGCGTGTCATGTCTGTCAACATTTGTACTTGATCGCCTGGCTCATCAGCTCATGAATTCAGCTTGCTTCCCAGGGCTATCAGAATCAGCCTCACCAGAATCCATGGCAAAATGCCACAGGATGAAACAATTCAGATCTAACCATTGATTGCAAAATGCTGCAGAAAACCATAGACCATAGAATCCATTGATAGCAGAATCCAATGAGAAGACTGCAGAATCATGTCAATGAGAACTTCAGATTTAATCAACGGATTATTCAGAAACCTCAGAATCCAAACCTTTTCAATTTGCAGCACCCTTTAAAAAATAAGGCAACATGAATCAGAAACCAATCAGAATCTCAATCCAGAACCTTTGAAACATGAACCAACCAACATGAACCAGAAACCATGCACAAACTATCAGAAGCTTTGTCACCAGACACTTCAAAGACATTTCAAAAAAACAGAAACTTCCAAGACATTTCAAAAAAAAACAGAGCCATACTTCAGAAGATGCACCCACATGCATCAGATTTTTGCCACCAGAGCTGCTTGCCAGATAGCTGGTGACTGGCTTCCAGCATCGATCAGAGGCCATCAAGGCAAGCAAAAGAGAAAATGACTTCTCAGCAGATTAAAACTGATTCATATCATGTACTATCATGTTCAGATAAGAATTATCAGATTCAAATATTAACTATTCATTCACCAGAAGTCCTCCAGAACCAGATCTACCCAGAAGATATGCAGAAACTTGCCAGGGACTCCTCAATTGTTGTTCCAGAGTTCTCAGAGCAGAGTTGCAAAATTGCAAGGCCAGGGCTCACAGAGGCCATGGGTCACAGCCAGGTGCTGCAGCAGAAAGGATCCTGCAGTCAGCCAACATGAATCAGAAACCAATGAGAATCTTTGCAGAACCTTTCAAACATGAATCAGAAACCACTGAAAATCTTTGCAGAACCTTTCAAACATGAATCAGCCAACATGAATCAGAAACCAATGAGAATCTATGCAGAACCTTTCAAACATGAATCAGCCAACATGAGTCAGAAACCAATGAGAATCTATGCAGAACCTTGCAAACATGAATCAGCCAACATGGGTCAGAAACCAAGGAAAATCTATGCAGAACCTTCAAACATGAATCAGCCAACATGAATCAGAAACCAATGAGAATCTATGCAGAACCTTTCAAACAGGACTCAGCCAGCATGAATCAGAAACCAATGAGAATCTATGCAGAACCTTTCAAACATGAATCAGCCAACATGAATCAGAAACCAATGAGAATCTATGCAGAACCTTTCAAACATGAATCAGCCAACATGAATCAGAAACCAATGAGAACTATGCAGAACCTTTCAAACATGAATCAGCCAACATGAATCAGAAACCAATGAGAATCTATGCAGAACCTTTCAAACATGAATCAGCCAACATGAGTCAGAAACCAATGAGAATCTATGCAGAACCTTTCAAACATGAATCAGCCAACATGAACCAGAAACCATGCGCAACACAATCAGAACCTTTACCCCAAACATGCAGACAACTAGTACCAGACCAGCAGA